CACGCGCCCGTACGTAAGTTCCGGGCAGACCTGGGCAGCTGAATTTGAAATCTTTTTATCATACACTGGCACGGAACATTACCCTAGGATTTCAGCTCTCTAGCTTTTATTGTTCCCGAGTTATCAGTTTTCCCGCCAAAACTTTCACGTGCTCGTAGGTGGGGCCCAGACCTGCGTGGGAGTTGATACCGCGGTCCTGGGGTGGCACTTGGGTGAGGAACACACTGGTAAAATTTAAACTTCAAAGTTTGCGCGTTTGACGAGCTGAAATACCCGGACACACACACACACACACACACACACACACACACACTGGCAGGGTCGTTGCAATATGCGCTTTTTGCTGCCTAGCGTTGCACGGCAAAAACGCATAAAAACACCGCATGCAGTTCAGGGGGTTAAAATCGTGATATATTACGAAAAATTTGCTTTTTCCGGACCAATTTTATTTTCGAAGAATAAATTTTTTCAGCTCAAGATTTTTTGAAATTGATAAACTTGGCCCTTAAAAAATTCTTTTAACTAACAAAATTGTATCTGAAAACTTACAGTAACATGATCTAGTTGCAGTTGCAGACGATTTGGCGATCCCCAATCACTTGTATTCTTAATAACAAATTCTCTTAAATCCCGAATGCATTGCTCGAAATCGTCGAACTCTTTTTGTAACTGCTGGAATTGAAAAAAAAGTAATTGTGATAACAATTTAAGTCCAGAAAAAATATTTTGTTCAGTGATTTACAAAAAACTCCGAAAATTTCGAAATTTTATTTTAAATTTATCGTTTTTTACTTTGAAACTTTCATTTTTTGTGTATTCACAATAAACGAATGAATTTTGTTCAAATGAATTTTTCCATGATCGTTGAAAAATGAATTTTTCCATGATCATCGAAAACAAATTCTATTTCAATTTTTCAAATTAAAAAAAAATTAAAAAATAAAACTTAGAAATTGCAAAAAAAGCTTAAAATATCGATGCTTCCAATTTTCTGGTTACCGGAGATGTGAAACTCAAGACAAACACAATATGCGTAAGGCAAAAAAGGAAAAAAGGACACATACACTGAAAAGCAAGAAGCGCAGAAGCCTTAAGTTTGACTCATATAAAAAAAAAAGCACCAGCGAGAAAATACTGGAAATTTTCTGAAATAGTCCGTTTTATGCTGAATCTCGATCGCTAATTGTGCAAAAAAGTGGAAAAAAGGATTTTAACTTACCGCAATAAGTGTCCCACTGGCAAAA